AATTTGTACAAATTAATAGGGGGCTAGGGGCCTCGAACCTTACGGATGCCGAACACACTCTTCTTCTTGTCGGTGCCGCCGCGGTAGCAAGAAAGCCACTCCTCCTCTGTGAGGAGCAAACGACCTTCACCACCATGGTCGTTGTTGTCGACACCGTCTTCCACATCCCTCCTATCCTCCATCATTTTGAGCCTTCCACAAGCTCCTCCATGGACATGGTTTTAAGATCAAGAAGCTGTTCAATTGCAATAGCTACCTCGGCGTACTTGGATGGCATGATGCGGAGTAATGATAGCTACATTTTGAATGAATTGATTTATGAACACAATAAAAATAACACTTATTCTTAAATACTTTTAAATCAGGAAATATTAATGATATTTTTAAACTCATCAATTATCAGTGCTATTATTATTATTATTATTATTATTATTATTACTACTAGTATTGTTATTATTATTATTATTATTATTATTATTACTATTATTGTTATCATCATCATCATCATTTTTATTATTATCATTATTATTATAACGGGTATAATAGGAAAATGCATATTTTTAAAATAAATGCCAAAAAATGTATTTTTCTAAGTTAGAAAACATGAAATAGAAAACTTTAACAAGACATATATACGGAAAAACCTCAACTTTAAATATTTTATGAGAAAATTAAAAAATTCTTAAAATTAACAAAGAAAAAATTAAATAAAATAAATATACTAAACAATATCAATAAAATAAATATAATTAATTAAACATTATCAATTCAAAAAAAAAACTACTTTGGAACTTTATTGCACTACTTTATTTTTTCGTTGGATTTTTAATTAATTTAATACTCCATCCGTCTCATTCAAAGGTTTTCACTTTCCTTTTTGAATGATCTATATAAAGATTCTCATTTCTATTTTTAAAAATAATTAACACTCTTAAATGATAGTTTAATAATCAAATATTAAAAATAATACATTTTTAACATCACATTTATCATCAATGACCCATTATATTATGAGAATTTATCCAAAATAGGACTAAAAAAGTTTGAAAATTCTAAAATAGGACTGACATGTTTTTAACTTTTTATTCCCAAAATATAACTAATTACTGCCATGTGTTGGCAGTACCAGACTTCAAACATGACAGTATTTTCCAAATTTGACAAATTACTCCTATTTTGGGAATAAAAATCATGACAGCCCTATTTTGGAATTTTCAAAATGTTTTAGTCCTATTTCGAGAACTTTCTCTTATATTATATACCCATCAAAAATATTTTTCAAAATATACCGGAATTACTTTATTAATAATTGTCTAAATAACCGGATCATTTTACAATGGGAACCTTTAAGCGGGACGAAGGTAATATATCAATTATCCAATAGATTAAATATATTTGGTAATTACCATTTTAGTTCAAATTGTTCTCCTTTCTAGCAACTAGCTTGTATTGGCTAATTTGCTTGCCCAAAATAGAAGGAAAGATTCACTCCAATAGTAGGCTACTAGCTTGAATATTTTTAAAAATTACAAGCAAGTCCTTAGGAGGAACCATTGGAGATGCTCTAGTATCTTCACTAACTCCACTAATTAATTAAACATGCATGCAATTAACTAATTGATCAATCCATGCAAATTAGACCAACACACTAATGCAACAGCACATTCGCTCATCAGTGCCGCTGCAACACAGGCACTGATGCATGCACGGTGCCAAGCGACGCACACTACTTGGCATGACTCATCCCGCCGTGCACAGTGCACTCACACTCTAGTCTAGCATCTATGACTCAAAATAAACTAAAATAAAAATGATGAGATTCTAAACAACAAGGTTAACTCCAACAACATTACATTGTCAAAAAAGAAAGGAAAAGAAAAAAGTTACTCCACACATGCATGTTGATTGCAAGTAGGTAGGACTCGAAACAACTCAGACAGATCCAGGTCTTATTTGCAAGCTAGGCCAACGACCCAGCAATCCAAACCCATGTGGCCGGCCGACCATGTATTTGGTGTATAACTGTATATACAGTGTTTTCGATCATATTCATATAAAATAAAGTAAATACTTATGTGATTCATCACATTCATGCATGCGTGAATGTGGCATTCAAACATCAAACCAGAGAAGCGAAAGAAAAGATCGATTCCAACCATTATAAGGTGCTGCTTGATGGGAAATTTTGGAAATGAGAATAATGCTCATGTTTGAAAAGTGTACTTTGGGTTTGATAAAGGCAGTAGTCATATCCCTCCGTCCCTATACAACTTAAAAAGGAAATACCGTTTGAAATTGTTTGAACATTACTCCCTCCCTCCCTTATAACTTTGCCAACTTTCCTTTTTTGGATGTCCCATTAACTTTGCCACTTTCCCATTTAAGTAAAGAATTTGTGGTTCCAGTTAATTCTCTCTCCTCTGCACAAACCTCAACCACACAGTTTTTACTTTATTAATCCCCGTGTCGGTCAAACTTGGCAAAGTTATTAGGGACGGAGGGAGTATATTCATTGTTTTGTTTGTCAAACAGGGAAATGAGACTTTTATTTAGATACGAAACGAAAAGGAAACAAATGTTTTGTTTAGGGACGGAAGGAGTGTTACTCTTTCTTTCAAACTAATTCTAATTCACATTTCTTCGAAGTAACCAAACAGTAATTCGTACCAAATCATTCGAACCTGAAGCCGGAGGGTGATGACAAATGTCATGTACGCCATGGGATTATGGGAAGGCGCAGAATAAGGGGATGAAGGAATTAGTAATACGATAGTATTAAATTAGTAACAATCGTCGGAAATATTGAATTGGTCGATCAATAAAGTGTCCCATAAAATTTTTCTCACTTACTCAATAATAATGATACATTTTTCACTTTATTCTCACTTCCCTAATTAAACTAAACTTCGATTAAAGATAAATCAGGAAGAATTTTGTGGGCAAAAGAGTATGTGATTTTTTAAACAGGAAATATAACGTCAATTCGTGAGGATGGGAGAAGGAAAAGGATTGAGGGGATTCAATTGGTTGTTAAATGAGAAAACTGTCAAATAGGCCCACGTACTATTAGCAAAACGTCAATTAGGCACACGTACTTAATTATCACCCAATCAAGCACCCGAACTTAAAAAAATACTCCAAAACATGAATTTAGCCGGTACACCCCCGGTTGGCCGGTTAAATGCTTCCGTGGCAACTGAGCTGGCTCTAATAATCCACGTGTTTTGCTGACTTGGTAACCCAATGAAGAACCCTATATCTGCATCTTTTCCCTGAGAGTTCACCCATTTCTTTTCTGCTTCGTCGCTCGAGCTCCCCATCGGAATGTCTGCTTCATCTGCCACCGTCGGAAGAAAGAATGGAAATCGAACTCTCAACTACCAACCACCTGTGTACTGTTTTTGCCAGTTAAAAGCGCCTCTTTGCACATCACGGGAGAGCGGCCGGATGTTTTATGGCTGTCAAAAATGGAAGGTATTTCTCTGAAATTCAGCCCTTGTTTAATTGAAAATGACTTAAATAAGGTTTGTTGGATGTTTTATTGATTAGGACCAAAGCTGCGGATTCTTTTTGTGGAAGGAAGATGTGGATGCTGAAAACGAGTTATTTGGCCAAGGAACTTTTTTGCACAGAAGAGATGATGTTCAGGGAATAAATTCTGGACGTGAACAACGTATTCTTCAAGCAGATGTTGCTTATGTCAGAGGTCTACTGGAACACGAAGTGAAGAAAACCAAATGTTTTAGGAAAGTGTATTCATTTGGCTTAGTTCTCACACTGGTTGTAGTTGGTTTGATGTATTTCCATATCAGAAGCACCTGTGTGTGTATGTAGGGGTTGGGTAAATGTAATACAGTACTTAACAGTAGCCCAGTGTGCCTAGTGTTTATTGACTTTGGTATTTGTATTTCAATGGTAATGTGTTGTCTTTGGGTTACTATGTTTGGCTAGAATGTGAATGTTAATGTGTACAATACTACAATGTAATTGTCCAAATGTAAATGAGTAGAATGTAAATGTCCAATTGCAGAACTCTTTTAACAGTCCCAAAAAAGAAATAAAAGTGGCATTATCACAGAAATGGTTTTCCTTAGCTGTCAACAACACAAAAACCAGATAAAGCATTTGATTAATTGTTTGTGGTAACAATTCAACCTGAATTGTATTTTCTTCAAAATAAGAACCATAAAGCATTCTCTGATTTATTCATAATTCAAAGGGAAATGTTATTCACCAAAAGAACAAAACAAAACATACAACACATATCTTCTGAACCAGGTTGTCTACTAGGTTCTTTAGTAAAAACTTGGTGGATAAACATACCACACTTGTCTTCTCAACCATATAAAAGCACAACAGAATATTCAGTGGCATATGTACCAAACTTGTGAAACATATGAAGACTTAGTAGGTAGAAGATTAAGTTACCAATTCCAGTACATACCAAAGCACAACATTCCAAAACACATAATATTAAGTTTTAAAGTTTACATCCCAAAACATACCAACATTCAATATTTTGTTTCAAAAGGTTGGCTTCAAAATGGCCTACACAGAAGTAGTACACTACACAAGTTAGGACTATGTAATCCAAACTTCCAAAACGTACAACAATGTAGGCCTAAATACATATGCAGTAGATTAATATATTATGGTCTTCACATCTTTGACTTCATCTTCTCACTCTGGAGCACCATCACAACTTAAGACTGTTTCTCCCCGTTGTCCTGGCTGAAAAAAAAATAAACACATTAGTAGTATAAGCATTCTACATGTGTGAACTTCAGTTTTTATAAAGCATTATAACTTACATTAAGGATTGTAGTTCCAGTTTCAGGATCATTATATATACCAAAGCCTCTTTCAGTTGGCCTTTTTCTATTTTTACCTCTTATACCTCCTCTTCCTCTCACACTTGACCCCATTTCAGTTGTATTCCTCCCTTTTCCACCATCCTGAGTTAGTGATGCACTGCCTTGTCCCCTCCCTCTTCCCCTTGGCCTTGGTCCACGTGGACCCCTCTTCAGCCCTTTCTGTGCAGGTTGAGTGTTGGATGGACATGATGACCTGTTATGTCCTTCTTGTTTGCAAACTGAACAACACATGATTCTTCCCTTTCTGGAGAGCTGAGTTCCCGATGGAACTTCTGTTTCTTCACGAATTCTTTTCTTTTTTGGCCTTCCACTCATTTTCTTGGGCAATGGGGCTTGAATATCTTCATCATTTGCTGACCTGGGCCAAAACATCTCACCATTGATGGGCTGCAAGGTATGTGAGTATGTTTTGACAAACATTTCTTTAGAGTAGCAGCTTTCCAAATATTCTTCAGGGTTTTGACCATGGTCCAGTATAGCACATACTGCATGTGCACAAGGTATACCTGATACATCCCATCTTCTGCAAGAGCATGATCTCCCTTGTAGTTTGACTTTAAATTGATGTCTTCCCTTCTTTATCTCGTACCCATCATCTCCATTAAAGTCAACATGCCACCCTTCACTGGCTACAATGTTCTTATTCAGCTTCTTCAAGATTAGAGGACCAAAGTTTCCTGAATTATACCACTTAACATTAGGTTAAAATTTCAAAATAACTATGTGAATAATTTTTCTGAATAAATTCAAATACAGAAAAGAAGTGATCTAAAACTGCCTCAACCTATATCAATAACTAAGAAAAAGATGAGCTACACAAAATATAGACTTGGGGATCTACCTGCCCATTTGTCTACTGCTTTCTTTTTTCTTGCAATCCTTTTCATCATTGCTACCCTCATCTCTTCTAACATTGGAATAAGTGGCTTTGATCTGCAACTAAGAAGAGTGCTGTTGAATGCCTCACATAGATTATTGTCCACACTGTCACACTTCACTGATGTACGGAAATAAGCTTTGCACCACAACTTCATAGGGTATTTGCGCAAGTCCTGTCCAGCCTGTGTGTCCTGTTTGTCCAACTCGTCTAAAGTAACCTGCAATTCTTCTTGAGATGTACACTTAGCAACCCTCCAGAAAAGCTTTTTCAAAACCAAACCCTTATGTTTTTTGCTCCAATTTGCGTGTATGTGTCTTGCACAGTTTCTGTGTTCCACCCCTCCAAATACATCTTGAATCACATTAGCTAGACCCTGAAAATAATATGGAAAAGCAAGTTAAAAAACAGTACAATATGGACAATAAATAATTATTAATTATTTTCAACTGAATCATAAAATTAAAGAAATATAAATGAACCTTTTGTTGATCACTGATAATAGTCCAGTCTTCAGGTTCTTCAATATTGAGGTCTTGCTTTAGTAACTCAAGAAACCAGGTCCAAGACGAATTATTCTCAATTTCCACAACAGCCCAGGCAATAGGATACATCTGATTGTTTGCGTCCCTTCCAACGGCAGTAAGAATTTCACCCTTCAGTTGGCCTTTAAGAAAACATCCATCCACCCCAATTACCTTTCTACATCCTTCTCCAAAACCCCTTTTTATAGGCCCAAAACACACATAAATTCTTTGGAATATAGAGGGACCATCTGGGACAACCCTCTCAGTCTTCACTACCACAGTGCTGCCAGGAATAGACTTCAAACACTCTTCAGCGTAATTCCTTATTCTCTTAAACTGATCTTTAAATGATGCCTTTGTTTTTTCTTGAATTCCCCTCACAGCTCTTGTAGCCATGCTTATTGAAATGTTGATCTTCAGTTCAGCTTTGACCAAGGATTTGAATTCCACAGCACCAATGCATGGGTTTTCTGTCACCTTGTCTTCAAATCTGTCCTCTAACCACTTCTGGCTAACAACCCTCAATTTGAACTTGGAATTGCACAAATGGTCTGGCCTTAACACCTTCACTTGAAAGCATTTGTATCTTCTTTCCCAACTGGCAGTGCACCCAAAGGGACATGTGGGACCACACTTGACTTGAACTCTTAAAGGCTCATTTTTCACAAAAGAAATGTCTGTTTTCTTATGGACTGCATACCTTATCATAGCATTCTTAAACTCCCTACCATCCTCAAATAGCATTGCCAACTCAATTAATGGAGGCTCAGAATGAGGGTTGTACACAGGATGGCTGCACTTCTTCTTTTTTGTGTTGACAACACCACTTTCTGGATCCTCTTCTGACTCCAAGCTAGATGGATTATCTGAGTCATATTCAGTGCTGCAGTACTCAGGATCAGAACCTCCTAAGTCCTCATTTGTTTGATGTGGCTCATCAGTGGCATCATTATCAAACCCAGCTTCACCATCAATATTTGAAGTGTCAATATGTTCTTCATCTGCAATATTACCATCTGATTCTAATGGGACCTCCCAAAGATCTTCCTCATGCTCTTCAGCATTCCTTTCTTCACTCTCAATTTCCAGTGAATCACTCTCATCATCTCCCTCTTCATTAGCCTCTTCATTAGCCTCTTCATTAGCCTCTTCAGCATCCTTTTCTGCATTTGCATCCTTTGCATTGTCTGGTTGTGGTAATGGGAGGAAGTCTACCAACTCAACTTCATCCAAACCATGTTGTACATACACATCACACTGTCCACAACTACTACCAATGTGTATTAAATGTAAAGTTGACTCATCATTGTACAACTCATATAGAGTATCCATACTTTCTGATGGTTTCTTAAAATAAATCCCTTGGATATTTCCATACATACCCGATTTGAGGAACTTCATTAAATGAGGGTAGCATATGAAATCAGGATCTATTTCCAAAGTATTGACTTCACCACCTTTGTACATACGCGTAGGCTTGTTAACCAAAGTCCCCCCATGGTGAATGTTTAGCTGAACCTTGTCAAACATTCTGAAAAGGAGGGAATGGTTGGTCAATTAACAGGAAAGCTTAATTTTTGTACAATTAACTATTCAAAATATAGATTACACATTGAAGAATACGGGTATAACAACAATTGTTGGAATTAAATATCACTTCAGTCCATTAAATGTTCAAGTAATGAGCAAAGCACCAAAAACAAACACATATGGGTCCCAAACTACCATGTACCATTCGAATAAGACATTAGTTACCTGTACTACGCAGAAGTTAATGCTAGAAGGTGATGCCGGTACACCCACGAGCTTTTGGCGTTACCCGTTTTCTTCTCCCGTTCAAAGCGACGTGAAGAACATTGAAATTAGGGTTAAGGTAATTTGGGAAATGTTTTCTCCATATAAACGACCCTTACCCGATGCTTATATCGATTATTAGAGCCAGCTCAGTTGCCACGGAAGCATTTAACCGGCCAACCGGGGGTGTACCGGCTAAATTCATGTTTTGGAGTATTTTTTTGAGTTTGGGTGCTTGATTGGGTGATAATTAAGTACGTGTGCCTAATTGACGTTTTGCTAATAGTACGTGGGCCTATTTGACAGTTTTCTCTTGTTAAATTAAAGGAATAGTTAGGTAGGAGTACGTGAAACATGACCGACAAGATGAGACGAGAAACGGTTGTTACGTTTGTCAAAATTTGAGGCAAAGGTATGTTGGAAAGCATAAATCTCACCGGCAGATGTATAATGCATTTGTGGACATCCCAACACACTTCGTGTATATGCTTTTCATTTTTTTTGTTTGGATTTAGGTTTTGGAGGAGAGTATATGAGTCTCCCTTATTTATTTGGTAGTTGAAAAAGTTAAAAAAAAATTGGTTTTACAAGTTCTTATAAAGTACTCCGTACAATCTATCAAATTTGTGGCAAAAGGTTAGGTTGGAAGAGAGCTCTTCTCATCAGGCCGGCCTGACGGGCTGCCCCGTCCGGCCGAGCCCATTTGGGCATCTTTCCGGTGGAATTTTTTGATGAAATTTTTTGAGCATGTTCCTCATCAAGTCTAGTTTCTCCATACCAAATTTCAGCTCAAAATTCGATCGGGAAGGTCGTCAAATGATTTTTGCAACTTAACTTGTCCGGAAAATACATATTCCGGACCAGTTAACTTGCAAAAATCATTTGACGATCTTCCCGATTGAATTTTGAGCTGAAATTTGGTATGGAGAAACTAGACTTGATGAGAAACATGCTAAAAAAATTTCATCAAAAAATTCCACCGGGAAGGTTCCCAAACGGGCTCGGCCAGACGGGGCAGCCCGTCAGGCCGGCCTGACATGAAGTTTTCTCTAGGTTGGAAAGCATAAATCAGTAAAATCACACCGGCAGATACATGTGTGCATATAGGAGGAATGGATCTAGTCTAGAATTGGGTCCGGTACTGTTCGGGACCAAATGGGGTCCATTTTCCGTTCCGGGGGAAGATCGGGTGTATAGCGTACCCGGCCTCGACAATCAATTTTATTTTGTTTATTTATTGTTTTAAATAACCTTACATTTCATTTTTAATGTGTATGATTTTTTTTGTTAATTTAATATTGTTAAATAAATATAATTAAAAAATTATTTATCCTGTTCGAGTTACCCAAACACACACTTCGTGCATAGTCAGCATAGTGATGAGACATTTAGACTTTTCATTTAATTTCTCAACCAAACTACGTACTTCAATTCACTTTTTATTTTTAACTTATTCAATTGCGTACTCTAATCTCTTTAATTTTTTTGCTACATTGTACTTTAAAAGTTTCTATTGTAAGCCTTTAATAATGAAGGTTGTTTTTGCTTCTCCTTGAGGTGAATATAAGTTAGGGAATAATCCACATTTCACAAAGATAATATTTTGCAAAGATAAAAAAAATAACTTGGAATAGCAGGTCATCAACCGGTCAGAGACCAGTGAATGAAGATGAGGTGTAAAGGTTGGATTATTCATGAATAATCAAAATGTGAAACTATTGTAAGAAGACCGCTAAAAGGTTGGATTATTAGTTTCCATTTTCCCTATAAGTTATTTCATCCAATATTTCATTAGTTGTAGTAGATTTAGTTAATATATTGAGCCAGTTTAATTAGCATTATTAAATATGCTTCTAGATTTTGGTTTTAAATATCTAAACTCATTGTCCACGACTAAATATAAAAATACAAACTTCTCATATAAACCTTGGACTCCTTTTCCTAAAAGGCACTGCTAAGTTAAGTCTTAAATTTTAAGATTATTAAAGCTCAAATATTATGTACTTTGCATATAATATCAAAGCAGGTGGTTAATCTACTATTGATGGCGAGCTCACACACCACGATACCAGCACTTTTCTGAGATCACCAATTTTCATGAGATGTTGGATCGGAACTAAATGATTAAAGTTGAGCATATATATCGAGAGGGCAATCGGGCTGCCGATTTCTTGACTTGCATAGACCATAATTTACCTTTTGGTGTTTAGTCTATATTTATTGATGATCCTACTTTATTGCTACACATTTTGTATCATTTGCTCGGGATTTATTAACCTCGTTTGATTGTGAATGAAAGATAGTAACTGTTACGTGCCTATAATTTTACCCAAAAAAAGGTGGTTAACTTCTTACAAGGTATACGATAAATTGATCTTCATACGACTCAACAACGATTTGTCCCCTTGATTGTTGATAGGTTAGTGTTGAAATGGTGGTGTGAGCGAAATAGCCTATCATTTCTTAAATGATGGTATTCAAAATACTAGTTTCATTTTCGAAGATCATAAATCCCTGGTTATTCAAAGTATTTTACTAATAAAATAAAGAAAAAATTATACTTCATATGGAAATAGCTAAAATGATCATTTAAAATTATACTGTCAGAAAGTAATCATATCATTATCTTTTCTTATTAATTGCGGAGTATCATTTAAACATTTATGATAAAAAGTTGATTTGTAAGCCCGATAAGCCAAAAAACGGGATTACCAAACGGGTTTTTAGTTTTTAGCAATCACGTTTCATTGTCTTTGTAAGCTAGAAAAGTGAGTTTACAAAATTCTCTACACAATATAAGTTTATACCGAGTACTACATTTGTCCCACTAAAATTGTATACATAGTACTCCATATTATTTTGTAAAAGCACTTTCTTATTAAATTAATTCATGTTAGCATAACCATTTTTTCTTATTCATCTCTTTTATTTTTGGATCATCCAAAAATATGGTGTTAGAAGAAAATCAAAACATTAACACCTATAAATTACTTATACAGTTAATAACCTCTAAGTGTCAAAAAAACCTTTAAGGGTTTGTTTGCAATCAATTAAAAAAAGTGATTTTGGCTTTTTTTAAAAAAAAACACTTATTTTCCCAAACACTATCAACTTTTACTTCCTTGGTTTTCGTGTAGAATCTACTTTTTACTTTTTCTATTACACAAAAAGCACTTATTTTACCAAACACTACCAACTTTTACTACTAATCACTTTTTCCCAAAAAGTGCCTTTATTTAAGCACAACTGATTGCAAACAGAGCCTAAGTGTTTCACATAT